CCCGAACTCAAGGAGCATTTAAAAGGGACCTGTGGTGTAGATTGAAGAGCCCCAGGCATTCTTGGGGAATAGTTGGTGTGCCTGTGTGTGTGTGTGTGTGTGTGTGTGTGTGTGTTTGTGTGCCGGTGCGCATACACGGCCCTGGATGAGGGCCATGCTGAGAAACAGCAAGCCCGCACTTGGTGGTTTTAGCAAAGGTTTTCTCTGAGTTTAAGCGGAACTTTCTGGCTTGCCCTCCGATAGTGTGAGCCCTGGGCATAGAGGAGGTGACCAAGACCTCCACTCTTTGCCCAGGACCAGATCCCCACCCCAAGGGTAGCTGCTGCCTCTTCTCTTCCATCTCCAGCCTGAACTGCCCCTCTGAGGACCTGAAACAGGGGTGTGGGTATAGCTGCCCTCAATGCCCTGGGGGTGGGGGTGGCCCTCTCAAACTTCAGGTCCTGGAATGCTGTGGTGAGGGAGCAGCCGGTGGGAGTGGTGGGTGTAGTAGGGTCAACCAAGGGCAGCAGGGGCCAGTGAAGGGCTGTGTGGTCACCAGGGGGCAGTGGGGACAATGGGATCAGTCGGGGGCAGCGGGGGGCCAGGAGGAGCCCAACACCCACAGCCCGACTGCTTCACACACAGCAGCTGCTCCTGGCTGACTACCTGACCCCCGATCCCATGACCCTGGGCTCTCAGTCTGTGATCCAGAGGGTTGCTCCCCTCTCCTCTGGGCTACCACTCAGAGCTCAGAGGACAGCTCCCGGGCCAGGCCCCTTCCTTCCATACCCCAGCCTGGCAGAGAGGGCCAGCCTGTGGGCATTGCCCCGTGATATCTAGGGGGGTATCTAGGCTGTTGCAGCGCCCCCCCACCCCCCCACCCCCCGTTAGTCCTCTGGCCACTGCTGAAGAGCATCTGGGGCCAGCTGTCCCTCCAGCCTCTTTCGCCTGCTCCAAGCATGCTCCTAGGGCGGCTACCGTCCAGACTGGCCAGCTGGTGACTGGGCTGGGCGCCCCCAATTCCCAAGGCGGGGTGAGGGCGGTTCGGTGATGTCCCCGTGCCTGTCACAACGGAAGGAACGAGAGAGGGTGGAAGTGCTGATATTAGCAGTGGGGCCCGGCGTCGGGGGCGCCACCACCGAGGCCCGTGAACCAGTGGAAAAAGTTCATCAAAGCCCAGGCGGCAGCGGCCGGGAGGGAGGAAGTGGGGTCGTTAATTTATGAACAAAGAGCCCTCAGCGGCAACGGCGGGGCTGCGTGGGCACAGGGGCGGGGGCTGTGCCAGCCGGATGGGCCCACAGGGCTGGTCTGGGGGCGGGGGACACACTGACCCAGTGGGCACCCCCTGGGAGCACGTGTCTCCAGTCACACCCACCCGCATGGCCTCACTTCCCACAGGGCCCCCTGGGCCCAGATGAGTCGGGTGGGGCTGGGGAGGGGTCCACTGCTGTCCAGAGTCAGGCAGGCACGCCAGGGATCCCCTCAAGCCTGGGCACGGAAAGAGTCCTTATAGACAAACCCTCCCCTCCCCTCCACCCCTTTTCTCGAGCACAACCTCTGGGCGTTCCCTGCGGGGCCTGGGTCTCCCCTGTCCCCCAAGGACCCCAGGTGCCAAGCACTGGCTAGTTGCCGGAGGAATGCCCCATCCTATTTACTTCCCTTCCCCCACTCCCGCCTTCCTGCCACCCACCCCTCCTTTCCTCCTCCCACCCCCTCCTTCCGTCTCCATCCCTGTCCCCCTCCAGCCCCGCCCTGCAGTGGAGAAATGGGCGGAGGAGGGCTCAGAGCTGAGTGAGGAGAGGGGAGCTAGGCTAGGTGAACTCTCAAGAGTGCCTGCCGCCCACTGGGAAAAGGGGAGCACCGCCTTTGGGGTTTGGGGGCAAGGGGCTGGGGCCCAGGAGGGCTTGGGGGCGGGTCTCTGGGGGCTGAGCTAGGGTTTGGGTAGGAGGAGGGCAGTCCCTTGGAGCCTGGGGAGGGGTCTCCTGGAGACAACACTTCCTGTCAGCATCCCTTACGCACATCTGGGAAGGAAAGGAGGGGCTCCTGGATGGGGTGAGGACAGGGTCCCTTGGTTCCCTCTCTGGGGGTGCTTTGGGTTGGTTCTGGTGCATGTGTGGGGTGGGGTGGGGGGTGGGACGTAAGGGACAGGGACGAGTTTTCCACGGAGCTCCTGTGTGTCCTATAGTTTCAGTTTGCACCCCTCCCCCTCAGCAATGATGCCCTATGTCATCACAGCCAAGAGGCCCCCAGCCCCATGTGGGGCACCCACATCCAGTCTCACAGGATCCAGGAGGGGGGTGCTCTTTGCTAGAGATGGTGAGCTCCCCCCACCCCCACCCCATGTGAGCCTGGCCTGTTGGGAAACAGAGGTCAAGCTGGGCGAGGGTCTTGCTGGGCCAGGATGGGGCCTGGGCAAGGATGGCTGAGCAGAGGGGAAGACGACGTGGGCCAATGAACACCAGGAAGGCTGCACCACCAGGAGCCTGACGTCCCTGTCAGAAGGGAGCCCCAGCCCACACCCAGTTCCGACAACATGGCCCACATTTTGGCTCTTTGAGCCCCCAGGAGCCCAGAGCCCGTGGCCATGGGGACGGGAGGGGCACCTGTCACCAGAGGAGGTGGTGGCGGCTGTGAGGTGCTGTCCAGTCGGTTCTGACTCGCAGTACAGCAGAGCCACACGCAGGCCGCTTGTCCTCCTCTCAGCTGCGCCCACACTTGAGCCCACTGAGTCCTGGGGACAGCCCTGCAGAGTCGCTGTCCGTCCTCCACACAATGGCTCTGTCCTAGTTTATGGGCAGAGCCACATCTCTTCGTATGAGCACACTTACCCCTGACCACCCACCCCTGACCACCAGGAGTCCAGGCCCCATCCCCAACGTCCTTGTTTCAGAGATGTCCTGTAAGGGCCTGCTAGGAAGTTCCTGTCTCCTGGCTCCATCCTGTGCCAGGTGCAGGGCTGGCTGCTCCGAAATGGCAAGCTGGGGGTGCTGCTGGCAGCAGGGCATGGCGGGCAGGTGGCAGGCACTTTCAGGTGCTTAATCTCAGTCACAGTAAGTGGCCATCTGCTTCGTGTGCGCAGCTGGGTCTGTAAGGAGAGGAGGCCACTGAGCCCCAAAGGGACACATGAACGGAGGCAGTTCTCAGTTTTGAGGTGCTGTGCAGGTGGGGCTCACAGGACCCAAGTGGGAAGTGACTTGAGGTCAGGGAGCAGGGGGTCAGCAGCCTGCTTTCTGAGTGGGTGGGACTACCAATGAGTCCCACCCTAGCTGGGCGAAGGAAGGGGCCTGACTGTGGGTGGGCATGGATGCTGCCGGGCGAGGCGTGGGGGCCCAGTTTGCACCCATTTCTGAGGTTGTAACAGGAAATGGTTAATAGTATTTGCAAATAAAAACTTTCTGTTTTTGAAACACTTCCCAGAAGGGAAAAAGATGGTCTAAGTTGTCTGTTCAATTTAAGAACTGAGCTTAAAAAAGAAAAAAAAAAGAGTGAAACATATCCACAATTTATCAGAAACAAGAATAAAGAGAACGAGGTTTTACACTTTTTTTTTCAGGGAGGGAGGGAGGGAAGGAGGGTCATGGGTGGTTTCTATTTTCCATCCCCAAATCTGAATGGGATAGAAGGCTGCCAGTAGCTTACACGGGAATACACATGTGTGTACCAGTGTATCTGTATGAAGGGGCTTCAGGCTTCAAGAATGCGATGAGAAGAGGATGGGATTTTTCCATGACCTTTTTGGACCCCTTGTGTGTGTATGTGGATGCATGTGTACATACGAGCTTGTGTGCTCACACGTGCATGTGTCCATGTATGTGGCATACGTGAGGGGACTTAAAAAAGCTCCTGGAAAAATTCCATCACGTTTCAGAGCCACTTTCCTAATGTGTGAATTTGCCACTGTGCAGGTGTATATGTTGGGTTCATGCATGTGCATGGCATGCGGATGTGCCACAGGGTGCACACATATGGAATGCATGCACATGTGCATGTGTGTGAACACACCGGCCTCTGGCCTGAGTATGCTTGCTGCTTGCTCCTCCTGGGGGGCGGCCCACGGAATGGTCCGAGGAAGGGTGTCCCTTCCCATTTGCCTTGCTGACCCCACCTATTGACTGATTGGGTCTCAGCCTGGCTGAGCACTGGCTGCCCCTGAGTGGCCGTCCTGGGGAAGGACACGCCTGGTCCCACCTTCTTCAGTGAAGAGGCTGAGTGGCTGTGGTGGCCACGCGCTGGGCCTCATCCTGAGTGTGGCCACTGGGGGCCTGCCCACTGCCAGGCTGGTGTCTGGAACGAACAGGGAGAGCCAGGGGGCTGGCAAGGTGCCCTACAGGGCAGGGTGGACCTGCCCTTGTGGTTTTCCGAGGCTGGACATGCTTGTTGGATCAGATAGCCTTCTCTCTCTCCGGCCTGCAGGGTGGCTAGTGGGTCCAAACTGCCAACCTTGCGATTAGCAGCCCAGGCCTTACCCACTGTGCCACCAGGCTCCACAGGAGCTCGAGAAGTTCCCAGGCTGCACATGTGTGGTAGAGACTCGGGGATGGTGTAGGCACAGAACAAAGCCCACCCGTGCACTGTCGATGATGCGTGTCAGAGAGGCCTGGGGGTGGGGGTGCCCTGGAACACAAACCAGTTACATCGTTGGTTTGCAGTCACCCAAGCCCCGGGTGGCAGGTGGGGACAGAGCAGAGCCTCAAGCGGGTGGGCTTTCTGTCAGCATGGCGCAGTCCAAGTGTGTGCTCAGTGAGCAGGGCAGGCAGGGGTCCCCGCTCTGTGGCACGATTTCCTGTGGGAAGGCATGCTCAGGCCCCAACCTACGTGGGGGCAGGAGGGCTGCACAGAAGTGCCTTTGATGTATGACTCCTGGTCCTGGCGTTTCTGAGGGGGACCACGCACTGCTTGCGTCATTGATAAGATTGGAAATGGTTAGAGGACAGACCTGGGCCTCGTTTCCTGGAGACAAACCTGGTTGCCATGGAGACGCGGCTGCGGCCCCAGCAGCCCATTGGCCAGCGCAGAGATGCTGGGCGCTTGCTCGTCACATGAGAGGTTTCCTGTAGCCCCCGACCCTCGCCGCCGCCAGACGCAGTGCGGAACTGGTCAGCATGGAGCAGGCTGGGGCCGCTGCGTGGGCCGCCACCTTCAGCCAGCTGATGGCCGAGTCCAAGCCCCAGGACACCTGGCTGCTGCTCCCCGAGGGCAGCCTGGTGGCTGGTCGCCTGGACAGCGGCTGTTCCCAGTACCGGCTGAAGGGGCTGGCGAGGTAAGCCGGTGGTGGTGGGGACCTGGGAGGTGGGTGGGCTCCTTTGGGGTCAGGGGAGGGCAGGGTCCTTCTTATCCACAGGCCTTATGGCGTCTGAGAGAGCCGCCGCCGTCGCCGCTGGCAGCAGGTGGGTGTGGCCGAGAGCAGGTAGGTGTGGCCGGATGACGCCCACCCCACCCTCCCACCCCCTACCCACCCTCGTGGGTCTCAGCTGGTGGGTGTGGGCTGGGGCGGTCTCCCCAAAGTGGGAATGTCTGGGGATCAGCCCCCGCTCAGGGCCCTGCCCAAGATGCCCACGCCTGGCTGAACGTGGGGCCAGGGGCTGGGTGTGGGAGGTGTCCTACCAATGACGTGGCCGTATCCATGGGGGAGGGCTTTGTTTACTCTGAGGGGCTCAGTTCTGCCTGGCCCTCCGCCTCCAGTGTCTCCATTTCGTCTCCATGGCAACACGGGAGGAGGGGTGCACACTCCAGGAGTGGAGGGGGCCGCGGGGTGGGGCAGGGGACGGGGGACCAGGCTCCTCTGAGGCTTCAGGGTCACTAATTGTGCACCAGGGCGCACTTCTCCATGGTCACAGCGGGGGTCTTGCTGGTGGGGGTGGGGGGTGGGGGCGTCTCTGAGCTGGAGGTCGGTGAGAGACCTGGGCTATCATTCTCCCGAGCGTGACAGACGCCACAGCCCCCACCGGAGCCTAAGCCCAGTGCAGTCCTGAATTCCAGGGCGAGATACTGACTAGAGCCCTTCATAGTCCTTATTAAAGTGTGTTTCCTTTTAATAGACCCCAGAACGCAGAACGCTGGAGCTGGCCCTGGGGTGGGGGTGGGGCGGGGGCGTAGGGGCGGCTCCAGGGTCAACTAGTCCAATCTGTTCAGACTGGGAAGTTGGGTCCCAGTCTCACGCTGTCCCCTGAGCTCTGTGGCTCACTACTGACCAATGTCGGGGGGAGGGGCGCGGGGGGAGCACACAGTAAAATCCCATGTATGCAAGGCCATTGCTACTGGCCCATGGAGGCCAGAGGGCACAGTCTGCCCAAACGCTGTCTTTGCTGCCAGGTACAGCCTGCGGAGAGGGTGGCCTCGCAGACACCTCTGTCCCACTCTGGTGGGGTTCATGTCGAATTCCTTCTTGGCTCACACACACACCTCTTGTTCAAGGCAAAGTCCCCTGTGTGCCCCCGTGAACCCACTGTCACATCTCACTGCCCCCCACACTGTCACACTCATCCCTCACTGCCCTCCTGCCCCCAGTGTCACCCCTCACTGCCCCCT